TCATTTGAAAAATAAAACCATGAAAACTGATGTTTAATTGCGCCAAAAGCAGACTCCACATCTTGAACGCAAGTCAGTGTGTATGTTTATAAAATACTACTTGTCCGTTGCTTAAGAATATCTAGTCTAAGATTTCGTAGAAGAAATTTTTGGGTATTAAAACTTCACAATTGTACTTCCAATTAAGATATTCAACTAATAAATGTCAAGAATCTTAACAGCTTCTGCACATTTAAGCTAAATTCTTACATTTCTTTTGTCTGTTGTGAGATCATGATCATATAACCTGAGTTTTCTTAAGATTCATATAGAACTTGTTGGAAAAAATAATTATTTAGCCTTGTCAAAATGTATTTTTTATAGTTCTGTTGGATTAATGCTCGCGATATATTAAAAGCATACACTGTAAAATGTGTTCAATACCATTTACGTGTAAAGAAAAAGTATGGGGCCTAAAATGGGTCCTTGAGGAACACTCATGTTTACATCTAAACTTTCCGACGATACACTAGGAATTAGAGGTATAATGAAGTACTGCCAATTCGCATATGTCGTTATAGGTTAATTTAGATAATAATAATTTCACTGATCACTGATGAACAAATAAATTAAAAATTTAAAAGCTAGAAATAAAAAATATATAATTTTGGAAAATAATGTCGAAATGTTTTCGTTTTTTCATCATTCTCTTTCATTTTCGCTTCTGTTTCTCTGCTATATCAAGCAGCTCATGACCCGACTTACGTTCATTGGAGTCCGTGTCTAAACTCCACAATTTTCCAGGAAACACGATGCTCCTCGGCCGAGGTAGCGAAAGCGTCGCCGTCGTCGCCGTCGATGGAGGGGTGGTGACTCCGAGGACTGGCGTCTCGGGGGCATCTCAGAATGAGTAGTGCAGCGAGGGCCGCCGTAGTAGCCACGGGGGTTCAGGACGATCGCACACGCCGACGACGACGACGCGCCAGATCACGTGGCGTCACAGCGCTCATGTACGCCGCACAACAAGGGGACGTCGACAGGGTGAGGAAGTTCATTCGCGCTCAGGTCAGTGTGCCAATGTTATTGTTAGTGAATGATTTTTAGGAATTTGCTTGGGTTATGAAACTAAGCACAAGTAACAATTTAAATGCTGTTTAATCTTGCTCATCTTGCTCTTATTTTCTATATGAATTATATGTTTACAAATTAATTATAATTAGTTTTAAAGGAGATACATTTTAAACCAAATGTTTTTTTAGCTTGCAATGACTTAAAAGATCTTGTAGTATACATTCAAATCTAACCATAAAGCCTTTTGGACTTTTCTATGGGTGAAGTTTTGTACAAGTTTTATTATTAATATCGAATGGAACAAATCAGTTTGATTTCAATAAATCCATCGAATGAAAATTTAATTGATTAGAACCACTTAAAAAATTAATTTTCAAATGGTTTGAAAAATGCTTTATAAATTTTCTTGTACACCTCTTTTAAAAATTTCTCTTTAGAAAAGGCAACGACTCGTTTATTAAATACATCATAACCTTATTAGTTTCTGATAAACCTGAAAGATTATGATAATTAACACAAATTCAATAGTGACTTGTACAATATGTCTACATCCACGTTGATGAGGGGATGGTAAAGAATAAAAAATAGTTTTAATTTCAAAAGAAAAATTAAATCATTTTAAGTTAAGTATCTACTCTACAAAAACAACCCACACAGATTACAGCATCGAAACTCGGGTAAATGTCGCCTCATCTGTTACACAAATATAAGCATGAAAGTCTACTTGATCGGCACATTGCCGTAAAAACCATCTGCAAAAACGCATTCGTTGATCACAATCCGGGGGTAAAATTTGTTGAGCTGGTTGCAGATGATAGGGGTGCAACAGCTGGCGCCTTAAGATGCGATGTACCGTACGAGATGAGGTTCGTACTAGCTGTGCGAGTCGTCGAGTACTAATTGTGAGGTCTTTGTCAAGATTTTCCAACACTGCATCTTCAACATTAAGGTTCACTTGCTGACCACGTCCTTCTCCTCGAGGAATAACACTTCCCATATCTCGCAGCCACTGAATGCATTGTAGGATTGTATTTGCACATGGGGAGTGACGTTGTAGCCATCGTTCCCGGTACAACCTAGTCGCCTCGAGCGCATTTTCTCCGGCTGCACCATTCACTAACACCATATCGACACGTTCGGAAATAGTAAATGCATTGTTTTCTCGGTTCATTGTAAAACTAGTTTGTGCACAAGCTAAAAAATTAAGTAAAGTAATAAATAAGAATGTAGTTTTTAATGTAATCGGTACGCTATTCTTATTTTTTACTTCTTTATAAAAATTACACTGCCACTATCGTGGAATGACAAAATAAAAACTTTTGTCAGGAATCGTTCACTTTTTAACATTGATGGGTCGATGGACGATGCATAATTAATAACAAAATTGTATCGAAAATCATTAACTAAGAAATTTGTGTTCCATTTAACAAATTCCTAATCGTTTTAGGGTCAGAAATTTAGATTTTTTAAATATTATAACTTAAATAAAAGTGTCAAAACTTTTGTCCTGTAATACGTAATTATTAAATAATACGAACTATTAAATTTTTGTAATGAAGCAGAGTTAAATGTGAATGACGGGCAGCGAAATATTATTAAGCTGTCTAATAAAATATGGTCTATGGACTTTTATGGTCGACTCTTGTTGTCTGTCAACTCATCGAAATCTATTTTTTTTTTCAGAAATTAATTGAAAATTTAAGCTGTTAATAACTAAGATGATTGAAAATTGCATAGAAAAAAATTCTATAAAAGATGTAAAATGGTCGATTTGTCAACAATCAAAGCCGAAACCAATTTCAACCCCCTTCTCTTGGGACTTAATTCACACGTTTATTCACAAGAAATACATTTTCTCCTACTTGTCACTTTTAACTGTGAATGTTTGTTAAAGTTTATAATTTAAACAAAAAACAACTTTAATATAATATGTAGATAGATAGTCCTTTAAATAATGACTTTGTTGTTGTTCACTCTAATTTTATTTACTTGCCTGATTCGAAATTGATATGTTTGCATGCTTGACACAAAGTTACCCCTAGTTGAATGCACCGCCGAAATAATGATTTTACATTGTCATAGCAACTTCCTGAGGTTTGTCTTCCAATGTTCCAACTTAGTAAGAGTTAATAAAGAGCGATCGCGATAGAATTTAGAATATTTGTATTATTAAACAAACAGTGTTTGTAAACTGTGTGCTGTGAGCAGAATAGTGCGGTGGAATGAAACTTCGAATTTACTATTACTTTGGATAAATGTTTTTTAAAACTTGTTTTAAGAATGTAAGTAAAGAATTTGTAATGTGTACTGAAACCCGTGAAATTCAAATAAACGTGATTATTATTATACTTTTAGTGGTTGTTAAATTTATGAACTGTATAACTACTGACCTGCAGTAAAATTATAGCAAAGAACAAAATAAACAGTTCGCGAAACAAATATATTTATTTTAATATTTAATATACATAATTCGTATTTGGACGAATCTTTTGCAGTCAAAAAATGTATGTAGAGGATCTCAATAAGTTAATTAAAATACACTTTTCTTGTTTAATTACAAACTACGTAAACTACTTTTTTGAAACTTGCTTCCTTTTGGGCCCAGTTCCAAGATTTTTTCTGGATTCCTGAAAAAATAATGTAGCAGTTGACTACGATAATTCAACAGGCATATACTAAACTTAAAATTTTACTGATCCTACTATAAACTTGTATTACTCATTTCTTAAAAGTGCAGAATAGACAGGATAACTTCAAACAACTGTACAGCTTGCTTAAATCATTTTTTGGTTTTCTCCTAAAATATTCTCTTTAAGTTCTAGAAAATTCTCCACCAGTTTTAGTTTTATAATTGTTACTTTTGTGATTACCCAAAAAGTTTTTTATTGCAACTTTTAAGCTTTGCTATCTCAGTTTCATTCAATTTCGGTACAAAGTCTTCACGCAACATTTTACAAATTTCAGGTTATTCGAATATATTGTCTTTCATTTTAGCATCAATGACTTTGGGTTTATCTCCCAAGTACCAGCAACACTTACATTTTTTCTACAAGGCCTTAAGAAATTGTTTCATAAGTCCAAGTTTTATGTGTAGTGGAGGAAGCAGAACCTTGTATGGGTCTAACAAAAACACTTGAGTAATGTTAAGAGATCCTGAATTCAGATCTCCTCGATTAGGTCAAGTTTCTCGCTGATAGTGATTTTTCCTATCTCTACGGTCCTATAAACACATAATACAGGAATACTTAGAAGATCATCATTGCTTTCAAAAGATAATAGTATCTAATGATTTTGAAATCTCCACAAATTCCATACTATCATACTCAAACCGCTTTGCTAGATCCATCCAAGGTTCTATTTTCTCCACTACATATAAAATTTGGACTAATGAAACAATTTAATAAGGCTTTGGTCAAAGAAGGTGAATGTTATGGGTACTTGGGACATTTCCAGAAATACTGCGTGATAAAAATTTTGTATTGAATGCAACAACTGACAACGATGCATGACAAAGCTTCAACAATGTAATCGAAAACTTTTTGGGTAATCATCAAAAATCACAATTATAAAACTATTCGCGGAAATGGTAGATAATTTCTCAAATGATCGATTTGACTAATTGTAAGATGAACCGACGGACTTGATTCTCAGTAGAGCTAGTTTACACAAGAATAGAACGTATTATTAATTTTATTCACTAATAGTGTAATATGTCTTATTGATATTTATAATTAAGAAAAAGGAAAACGTGCTGTGGATTTATTTTCTCGTGACCACCCTCACATTTTGAGTAAAAATTGTGTTCCTTTACTCTTCTAAAGTTAAAATCTGCGACATAACTATTGGCTTTTTTATATTTTCAGTCTTCGTCTCTGTTTGAGCGAGACCGGACAGGAAAAAGCGCCCTGCACTACTGCTGCACCAGCGACAGTCTCTGCGCGGCACACGCTGCCGACCTCCTGGTGATGGCGGCGCCAGACCTGGTGGAGGGCCGAGATGAGGATGGCTTCACGCCGCTCCACCTGGCCGTCATCGCCGGCAACATGCAGCTCGTTACGTTCCTGTTGGCCAACAACGCGGACATCAACGCCGTGGACAACGAGAAACATACCGTGGTGCACTGGGCTACGGGTAAGATCTATTACTTCATTTATGAGCCTCATACATTACTTAATTTTAACTATACAGTCAATACCTTATGAATTAAAAAGTAGGTCAAAATTATTGATATGCTTTTGGAACAATACAGATTTTAATGCAGTTGAGCCACACTATGTTTCCTGTCCTTAAATTTGTAAAATTTAAAGCAAAGAAGCTTTACATTTCCGTTATAAAACTGGCAAGAGTTTTAGAAACAATTCAAAGAAGGAGAAACGTTTTAATTTTATATTAAAAAATACAAGTAATAACAAAGTTTCAGTTATATTTCAGAATTGAAAGCAACCATTTTAGAACGCTTAGATTTTTGAAGATATTAAGTTCATAAATAAATTTTATTTGTAAAAATCTTAATAGTACTTTCTTGCAGATACATCTAAAATAAATTCACACCGCTTGAAACTTAGTAGTTACCTAAAATATAAAATCATATTTTACAGTTCGATTTTTAAATTAAAAATACATATTTTAGCATAAAAGGCGATTTTCTACCGTCATTTTTTATTTCGAGTAATGACGTCATCGACATTTTTTTAAATAGCAACCCCCTATTTTTTTTATTCTGTAAGATCGTTTCATTGTCGATCCGACAGTATTAAAATGTTGCCATCTTACATAGGAAAGTTTTCGAGTAAATGACGATTGAATGTTAGGAAACGTAATTTTATTCATTAAAAAAATAACAATTCCTATGTCAAGCAAATACAATTCATTAAGTTTTCTACCTAAATAAAGTATTGGAATTGCCACCCACCCACTTCTTTACAATACGCAAGTCTGTGTAGAAATTCTTCTTGCACATTATGAATTATTTCTGGGGTAACTCTGTGTATTTCGTCTATAATACAGGGTGGGCCACCAGTAACGCCTCGGTCGCTAGTGACCAAACGGCAAATGTTACAGAAACCTGTATAGGTGGGTATGTGTAGGTTGATTACGGCTACATTTTAAAAATATTTTGAAATATACAGGGTGTCCAGGAAAAGCGTACCATATCAAAGTTATGTTTTTTTAAATGGAACACCCTGTATTTTACTGCATTTTTGAAAGCACCGTAAAAAAATAGGTGAACTTTATTAAAGGTTCTGCATACCTAGGACTTACAGTTTGTGAGATATTTCAATTTAAGTGAAAATGCAGACTTAGCGTAGAAATTTAATATTAGCAATAAAAAAATAATTTTAAGGAAGCAGCTTTGGAGGGTCTATTTTAGATCCTTGAAGTTATAAATTGTTATATTTGTCGTCACTTAGTATTATACAGGGTGTTCAAAAAACTGCTGAATACTTCTCTCAACTTTAAACAGCAATAACTTGGTTATTTTAAATGGAACACCCAGTATATTTTTACTTTGGGAGTTGGGAAATTTAAAACTCTTTC